CGAGTCGCAAACCTTGACGCTGTTCACCTCATCTAGCAGGCGGTGCTCCTCGGCCATCAGTTCTCTGATCCCCTTGTAGACCGCATTGGCATCCGGATCTCGCATGAGTCTGGCGTACACGTCAACGTCAGCATCAACCAACCCGTCCCGACCTCCACCTTGCTCTGCATTGTATTCCCAGACCTTCTTCAGGTGGCCATCACCTGCACTAAGACTTAGACTTAGACTTAGACTCAGACTCAAGAAAGACTTAGACCTGAACTTGACATAGACATAATTGACATAAACTGATGAGATAGTATAGTATAGTATAGTATAGTAGTATAGTATAGTATAGTATAGTATAGTATAGATTATAGATTTGTAGATTATAAACTTATCATTATTATAGACTGATGGTGCCTTTGCTCAGCATATTCACAATCCGCGCGATGGAGTCACGCCACGAGCCAAACGTGGCACTCAGCCGGTCCACGACCGAGCGCTGTGCTTGATGCTGCGCCCCTTGCCACGCCTTTGCAGGGCGCTCTTGGTCCTTGTAATTGCTCTCGACTGCGTTGGCAACACTCTTGATGGTAGCAAGGCAACTCAACAGTTCCTTGAGCTCCGCTTTCTCGGCGCCGAGCCTTATATAGTCACAGTCAATAGAAAATTATAGTCATGGCGTGTCCGAAAATGAATACGTGACTATCCATGCTTGCAAGTACATGTTTAGGATACTTTAAGTTTAAGTTTAAGGCTAAGGCTTAAGGCTTAAGCCTTTGGCCTTAAATTAAGACTAAAACTTAAACTAAACCAAAAACCTTAAACTTAAACTTAAACTTTAAAGGCTTAAGGCTGCAGTCCAGTTGCTGCTTCAGACATTTACCTGCAACCTCCAGATCGAGGAGGAACTGGCAAGCATCGTTAGCGTCCACTCTGCCTGTGTCGGCATCAACCTTGATCATGACGGGGTTATGCTTGAAGTATTGTGACTGCATTGCCTTCCAAGGCAGGGCAGGTGGCTCGGGGAGGGAATCTACGCCCATGATAATCTCCAGATCCTCCTCGCCAGAGAAGACTTTCATCAAGAAGTCACGGCTCTTAGCCATACATTCCCCTGACTGTAAGTCGAGGCAAGCAGCTCCCCCAACCTGTTGCGTAGGGAAGCGAGGTCGGGTTGGGCTTGCTCCTGAGTGCTGAAGCCTAGCGCAGGCACACCCAGCCAGGTACCACTCTGAACGGCAGAGGCCATTTCTGACAGAACAGCAAGAAGCGCTGTCACTGGCTCCTGCACGAAGGCCGCTGGGCTGCGCTCGCTTCCATCTTCCTTTTGGGTCAAAGCCATCAGTGGCTGGCACGCTCGAGCGGCTTCTCCACAGAAGGATGTCATGCTGCCCCAGAATTTTGTGATCTCCTGGTGCCTGCAGCTGTGGGCTTGCCGGGCACCACGATTCTTAACTACTACGTTGCAAAGTGCAAAGTTAGTGTTTCTAGTTTTGAATTTCGAACAGGTTCAATGTCAAAGTCACTGAAAGTCTGTCGTCCATCTCTGACTGTGACTAGGTGCAGGGGCCCCACGGTTTTCTCATCAAAGCCGAGGTGGCTTGAGAGTACCAGCCGCTGCCCTGCAAGAAACATGGACTTGCAGGACAGGAAACCTTCTGGAAGAGTCTCCTTCTGAGCCTCAGAGTCTCATGAGTCTGATGTCACGGTTGCAACAGCTACGCAGCTATACTACACTATAAGGCTATAAGGCATAAGGCAAGCTAAGTGCTAAATATATAGTATAGTATAGTATAGTATAGTATAGTATAGTATAGTATGTATATAGATGGTAAACTTACTTGCTCACGCACCCGTTGGGTTGAACTAGTAACTAGTAACTAGTAACTAGTATTCTTACTCGGAGATGAAAATGCGCAATCTGGCCTCGCCAGCTGAAAGCAGGAAGGATACAGCATCTGGAAAATGCGGCGTCTTTTTCAGCCACAATCCAACAATGGCTTCCTTGCACTTCAGATTACCTGCTGCAAGCGTAGCTTCAACGCAGACCAACTCCTTCTCGGCTGCCTTTCGCCATTGCGAACCAGGTTCCAGAAGTTGCTGGGCTTTCTGCAGCTCTCCCCATCCCTCGGGCATCATTGGCTTGCCTGCGGCGTCACCCTCCACTTGGAACTGCTCGAGATCGCCAAGCCGGGTCGCTTCGGCGGCCCTTGGAGCAAGGGCGGGATGCAGAACAAACCCAACATACAGAGTTACAGAGCGCATGTTAAATTTGTCATGTGTCATCAATAGACTAGACAAGTAGGGGCTCACTATCATGGCCATGGCACGGCTGTGGTAATGGCCTTGCGGCTAGGCCCGGCTATACTGCGGCTATACGGCTATGCAATACCACTACTACTTAATTAATTAC